GCGGCACGCCCCATCACCCCTGGAAACGACTACAGAGGGAGAGGGAATTTTCATCCAACCCGAGTTGGGGTGGATGGTAAATAAGAGGCTCATGTGGGGCCCCTGAAAGCTGGGGCCAAGTGCTCTTAAAACAAGAGGGTCGAAAATGGGACTGAAATCAGCCAAATATGGTGATGGAAAGGCGAATCCTCTGGCTGAGATATGTGGTTAAAAAATGTCCAATAAATAGAGGTTAAAATGAAGGAGTAGAGAAGATTTTAGGTTTAGTATTGCAAAAAAAAGTGAAGAAACATTTTTTTTTAATCATTTTTAAACCTGTTTGGAGCAAACAAACATGAGACAAAAAGAAAAAGATGCACAATTCAGAGTTTAAACAGAAGATATTAGATGCTTGGCTTTTGTTAAAAACAGTGTGGGGATAGTTTCTGTTTCCTGATTTGGATATTTCCCAGCAACACGTGTGGCATATAATACTTATTTATTTCTATACTTTTTAATTTTTGGAACCCTCTGTTTGCGAATGAAATGTAAAAAAAAAAAAAAACATTTTCACCCACTTTGTGGCTGTATGGAAGCTGTTGTTCAATAGTGAGTGTATTCAGTGGGATTCATTCATGGATGTCGGAAGAATGTGGAAATACTTTAAAACCGTAGCTCTAAAAATTTTCTATTGGAACCATCTCTGTAAATAACTGGCTTTTCTAACTATCATTCTGCTGAATGTGCTAAAGAAAATTGGGCTTCAGAGTTTGTTATTCTTCAAAAAAAAAAAAAGAGGAAAAAAGTTGTGTAACATTTTTAAGCAAATTATAAGTTTTTTAAGATTGCATTTAAAAAAAAAAAAAATAATAATTTAAAAAAATAAAGAACAAGCAACTCCCTAGAAGTCAGAATATCTAGTGGGTAAAATCCGCCTGTCTACATTTCTCACTGCTGTTCCTTTGTTTTTGAACAATGTGATGAAAAACACTGATATTAGCTTGTTTTGCTTGTTTTGTTGTCATGAGTTAGCCTTTCCCTCTAAAGTCTGAATTTCGAACTGGAACACAGTTTAACTGGACATGCAGCAATTCCCATATCCCAGGTCCAAACTTTGGACATTAAAAGGAAGAGAACAGAACTTGTTCCTGTTTCTCTTTCCTTTTTTCACTTCAGACTGGGATTTCTGGGTAGCTTGATTGTTTCTGGCAAAGGGATTAAGTGTTTAACAGGGTAATTACAACACTTTTTGGCTGGAAACTCTGTATTCACACATTAAAATCATTACCACCTATAGGGGTAGTGTAGTTATTAGTGTTTTATCATATAATTTCCTGCTGCCTGCATATAGAATATCTTTTGTTAGGTAATTGGGGTCTGGGCATGTAGAACAAATCCATGGATGATGTAATTATTTATTTTAACCTTTTTAATTGAACAACCCAAACTAGTGTTGCACCGATACTGATACTAGTATCGGGTGGGGGCCCGATCCAGCACTAAAATTATGTTATCGGTATATGAATTGGCAAGTATCAACAAAAAGGACACTGATACCATTTTTAGAGCCAAAAGTTTATTCAACTATTGTCACCCATTCCAGGTATGCAATAAAAACTTCTACTGGATTCACTTTGTATTAGTCTTAGTCTTGTATTAGCAGCTTGACAAAGCCATGATGGTGATTATTTTACATCCAAGTAGTATGCAGTTCTTCATATATACACACACACCAATTTCAAATCGATGGTATCGGTATCGGCCGATACTGCACCGCCAGATATCGGGTATCAGGGCCAAAAAATGGCATCGGTGCAACACTAACCCAAACATTTAACTAGAGAATGTAGTAGATAAATGGCTTTAAAAATTAGCTTTTGGTAGTGCTGCTTAAGACAAAACATGTGGTTGATTATTTTTAGTTTATTATCGTCTGGTATAACAGCTGCTCAGAGAATTTGGCTTCTCAGTGCATTACATGCAAGATGTGGACAACCGTTCCTCGCTCTATGTTTTGTTTCTGGTCCTTATCTCTTAAGCTTGACTGAACTCAAAAGAGATGATAAGACAGGAATCAGGGTTTTTACCTTTTGTTGCCCCTGAAGGCAGTTTATATAGCTTTGTTATCAGTTTCGTTTTCACACTAGGTCCCAAACTACATTATTATATCCTAAAGAGAGAGCTCGCTTAGATTTCTGTCTTTGGGTTCTTTTAAAATGATATAGACCATCACTGTTCTCCAAAGGCTTGCTCTGTCAGATTTCATGAAGTAAAATACAGCCCGCAGATATTTTCAACAAGATTTTTTTTTTTTTAGTCGCTAATCAGATTTTTTTAGAAATTTGATCTGTCTTATGATTCCCTGCATGCCACAGTAATGCATTTACCCAGTCAGACCAAATAGCCCTACTTTAAGCTTGTGTTTCTGTACTGAACAGTCAAAAATATCCCTTTTCTGCTCCATACTCTTAAGTCTGTTGCATCTTTGTTGAACTTTCTTTAACATCGTGTTTTCTACAGATTGAGGTTCTAATATTTGATAGTAATGAACATTAATCCCTCTTCTGCAGTAAGTGTTTCAGGTGCCCTTAGATCCTAAAATGTGGTGACAAATATCAAATAATATAAGATTAATCTTTCACTGGGGCGTATTCTAAAAAGAGGATTAGTCATGGAGTTTTGGTTATACGTAAAGGTCCTATATCATCCTTTTTAAGCATTTCTTCCTCTATGTGATGATATATGCCTTTAGCACTATGGACTATCCATTTGTTATTAAATAGGCACTTTTCCTCAAAGCAAAGCTACATCTCCCAGTTTGGGTGACCTTTACCGAGGCCTTTAAAGGCAAAAAAAAAAAAAAAGATTATCACGACTTAGACATCAGCTAAAAAAGAAAAGTTGCTGTCCCCGTAGAGATTATCTGTTAAAAGATCGACTTTGTCTCAACTTTGAGCTGGAATCATCTTGCTCTGCCTTAAATCATCCTTTTCTAGCTGGAGAAAGAGGGCGTTTGTTTACCCTCCAGGTGCAAGTGTGATCATAGGTGCTTCATGAATAGGGCAGATTTTTCTCATCTACTCATTTTAATCAAATGCGGGGTGGGGGGGTTACTAAGGATTACTAAGATGCATGAGTCAGGCAAAAAAAAAAAAATGCTGCATGACGTTGATGAAAAAATAGCATCATGACTGTAAAAAAAAAAAAAAAATTATTAATTTATTCATTCATTAAAGTAGCAGCTTCCAAAATTGACAATTTTGTGTTTAACTTTATAAGAATGAAATTTAATTAATAGGCTTTATTCTTTAGCAATAAGCTGGAACCTCTAGTCTTTTTTTTTGCAGTTTTTGTTGTTCATTTAAATTCTTGCTTTGTATAAATACATACATGTCATGTTTCTGGTTCAGGTGTCGGATAGTTGTGAAAATTATACGGGATGTTTTGAACTGTAGCTCTGTTTTCATTATGTTACCTCAAACTTTTACCCGCTGGAACTTAGTAACCTTAAACCCTCAATTTCTTTCTTTCTTTTTTTTTTTTTCTGTTTCATCTGCCGGTTTTGTTTTGGTTGATCACCTGAGGTTTGTCCTCTTATAGCTTTCCTGAGTGAAATTAAATAGATAAAGCATTCACCCATGATGCTTTAATAGCGGATATGACAATATGCGATATCCACTCTTAATCCATGGTACTTGCAATGGTGCAACTTTAGTTATTACTTCACAAAAATCTGCGTTTTTATGTTTGCCCCTTAAGGAAAAGGCTGGGAAACCTTTCAAAATAACAGTTTTTTACCCATATGATGCTATACAAACAGGATGATTCACTCCATGTATTTCCACTGGTGAAATACAGCCAACATATATGATTTATAGAATGAAAAATGCTACTTCTCACTTTGCAAATTTCAAAATAGTTAACATAAAATATGTGCTGTAGATGAGTGTATATGAGGATGTCTGAAACACTGATAAGGAAATTAAACAGAGCAGAGCTGCTTAGCGTTCCTCCCCAGCAAAGTTTCAATATGAAAAAGTAGTGCTCCTCTAGGAGGATTTTTAGGGTAGATTAACCATCTATTATAAAATGCTTATAAAACATGGAAAGAATGCTGGTTAAAAGAAGGGGCAGGAGAGAAAACTGCAATAAAACCCCCTATGGGTTTGAAACTATGCCCGGACCGGAGCCCTACTGAGCCAAAACAGGAGGACAGTGCACTCCCCTGCTGCATATTTTTCCTGCCATTTGGTTTTTTTGTTTGTTGGGCTTTTCCTTTTGTCTGTTCAGTTCACTTCCCCTGTTTTGTCTCTTGCTCTTTCTTTTTTTGTTTTTGTATCCTTGTTTTTCTGCTTCTTTTCTCTGCTGTGCACCAGCCACACCAGTATCTCATTACTCTAATCCCATTCTTGTACTGAAGACACCATATTTTTCAATCCAAGCCTCTCAGCTCTTTTATTTTCATCTTTTTTCTCATATTCAGATGAAGCTGCCAAGAATTTATCAATTTAAAGTAGAAAACGGAACTGCAATATGTCACTTCAGTTTGTTTTATCTTATAATTCAGCTATTTGGGTGAAGGGAATTGATCCTGATAAGGAAACCAGATGGAACTCATTCTAAGGTTCAGATTTACAGCAACTGAAAAGATTTGGTGGCCTGATTTTTAAGCTGATCCACATTTTCTCTGATTAGCATTTGTCGGCCAGAAACCTTTATGGAGGTGTGAGCCAAGCACACAAAGGCATTTTCTGTCACGTTAAGCCATGAAAGGCATGAGTACTTGTGTTGTAAGTTGGCTGAAGTCAGCCAAACATTGTTCGAGGAGCGCTAACCTGCACTGATGGAGCGGCCTTCCCTGCCAACCTTCGCAGAAATCACCAAAAGAGACAAAGAGAGAAATCAAGCATGAAGTTCTAAAACACAGGATAAGAAAAGAAAGTTGTTCACACATACTGAGGCAAGGGAAACAGTTGAAAAGCACAGTAAAAACCTGTCAGCTTTCTTGTGTTTTTTTGCAGCCTAACATCGGCCGCCTCGGCATCCCTCACGGACCCTCTGCAGAGAAGGTGGCAGTGGTCGCTGTGGACGACTGTGACATCTCCATGGCAGTTCGCTTTGGGAAACAGATTGGCAACTACACCTGCGCCGCCCAGGGCACCCAGACCGGACAGAAGAAGTGAGAAATCCAACTACGTCCAGACCAAAAATGTTATCACTTCTTTATAAAGTTTTATCAAAATTGCCCTCCTTGAAACAGCTTCCAAAACCACACTCTGTTTAGCTTTTAATCTGTTTTCATTCTTGCTGCATCTCCTGTCAGACATCCCAAAGCTTAGCTAAGCTGGAGCTTCTCAGCGCATGCTTCAGGGGACTTAGTGTTTGCCACAATGCAAATCAGTTTCTCAATGAGTCACTTGCAGAACGTGCTGAGACACATTTGAAATGCAGAGGGTGGGAACAGAGAGAAGCATTTAAAGGTTGACGATGAGTTACATTCTTTCAGGGACACAGTGCATTGGTCACAGACACTCTGATCCAGACATAATATATCAGAACATAAACAAACTCCTGCAGGGTAGTTAGGTGAAAAAGGGTTTGTTCCTAAGTGTTTTAATTTTATTCTTTAGATTAAAAAGTAGTAGCTCTGATTTCTGAAGTGGAAAGAAATGATTGATAGGTTAAATCTTTATTAGCAATAAACGTTGTATTTAGCGCCTGTGAGTGCAAATTCTCCAGAACCGTTTTTTCTGCAGGTCTTATAGGTTTTTGTCTCTACCAGCTTTACACATCTAGTGTTTGACGTTTGTTCTGTAGTGTTTAAAATTAATCAGACTTCAGTCCTTTCCAGATTCTAATCTGGATTCAAGGCTGGCCTTTCTAACTCATTAACATGCTTTGATTGATTCTTTAACCTAAACTCCATCTTAGTCTTAAGTCTTAGCAGCCTTCAAAAGGGTTATCTTCAACCATGTATCTCTATCCTACTCTATCCCTGACAAAAAAAAGATTTACATAGCATGATGTTGCCACTGCCATGCTTCACAGTGGCTCTTTGCAAACTGTGAAAAGAATTTCTTGTTCAGATTCATCAAATAAGTTAGAGTAGTTTCTCCCACATGCGATGTAGTTCTTTGCAGAACCTTCAAAGTTACTATGAGTGTTTGACTGCCTCTCTGATGAACGCGCAGCCTGTCTGGCCTGTCAGTTTAGAGTCAGACCTAGAATTATGCATGTTTCAGATGATTCCCTTCTTGACAACACACCATATTAGTGATGAATTATTTAGCAAGAAACTCAACAGAGAAAAAAGTAAAACAGGTCAAAGGTTATGAATTCTGCAAAAAGCTGTACCTCACTTATCTCTCTCTTTTTTATAAATAACAAGGAATCTCAGATTCCTAAGGTATTGCTGTGCAAGGGGTTCATGGCATTTCAGGATAAATCCTGCTGATTTCTCTCTCTGTATGTGTATTTTCTCCTCTATAGCTGATTTAATGCAGCTTTTCATGCTCCCAGCCAGACATTGGAATTTGCATTGCGTCCATTTAAACTCATGTTCAGTTGCATCATGCAGAGTTGCCCCACTTTAAGTATCTTAAAACCGTTCGCTGTTTGATTGTTTGCATTCTAGAAGCTTTAGGCTTAATCAGCTTTGGTGCAGTATTTAAACCTATAAGACCAAAAGCATGTTTTTACAGTCTGGCTTTCCTCAGTCAGCTTTTGGTCAAGTGATGTTTAAACCCTGGAGGTGTGGGGAGGACACTTTCTAGGATGTCAGTAATTGTGGTTATTTGGGTTAATTCATAAGTTTTTCTCATAGGAAATGTTGATATTACCTATTTTTGGTGTTACTCCAATCTCTTTTTATCTTGGTCAGATCGTTGGACTTGACTGGCCCTCTGTTGCTGGGAGGAGTTCCCAATCTGCCTGAGGACTTCCCAGTCAGGAACAGAAACTTTGTGGGCTGCATGAGAAACTTAACTATCGACAGCAAACCCATCGACATGGCCAGCTACATCGCTAACAATGGCACCACTGCAGGTTAGACCCAGTTTGCACTGCAATTTCTTATCATTTCTCAAAGCACAATCTGAAGGACTAATATTTGCTAAACTTTCATTGCAAATGTTAACAAAAAGCACAGAAATAATGCTCAGTTGTTAGTTTAAGCTGGTTTCTGATGTCCAGGTTGTCCAGCAAAGAAGAACTTCTGCACAGACAATGTGTGTCTGAACGGAGGCGTGTGCGTTAGCAAGTGGAACACCTACAGCTGCGACTGTCCTACCGGCTATGGGGGCAAAAGCTGTGAACAAGGTCAGATATGTATATTTTCTTACTTTTTTCAAAAAGCAAAAAACAAACGGTGAGATGATCCAGTGGGAATTCATAACTTCTTGCTTGTTTCTACTTGCTCACCTGTTTGCTTCTGTATGGACATGTTTATTCACTTGTACATCTAGAAGGGAGATTAGATCTGTTGCGGATCGACTTTAGCTCATCGTGACTCATGCTTTAGTCACAATAGCATTAGGGGAAGCCTCTACTCTATTGTAGAGTCAGAAAGCATTACCTCAGGTTTGGACTTTCAGGTTAAAGAAACATATGACTTGCCTTCCAGAACCCAACACTAAAAATTTTCTCACATTCACAGAACCCGCTACTCCTTCTCTGCCAACTCAGTATATTTGCATCAGTTTTCAGCACAAACTCAAAAATCTTTCCTTTTTTGCCATGATATGTTATTTATACTCCATCCTACTTAGTTTTCTTCTTTGGCAAGGGGAGAACTCTGATGTCTTCCCTCAAGGCAAGTTCCCAAAGAAAGGTGTAAACGCCTCACCTTTTTTGCTTTGCTATCAGGTAATCACCAAACTAGTGCCAGGCCCTAGTATCCAGTATCAGAACCTGGTCAGGATCACAGTTTGTGTTTTTTTTGGCTGCTCTGTCTCTTGTTGACACATTAAGTCTAATTCTTCAAGTTCACTGCTTTCACACTGGAAATATGATACCCCTCTTTGGATCTTTCACATTGACAAACTAAGGTGACCTGCTGTCACCCACTAGGGTTTTTTGTATCAATCTTGGAGAAAATTGCCCACCCTTTCAACCTAAGTTTGAAAGTTTAATACACCAATAATCATGAGTGTTTAAAGTGTTTTTGCCCAGTTTTTCTCTCCATTTTGCATTAAAGATTTACCACATCCAAACAGTCCAAAAAAATTACTGTTGAGCTTTAATTGGTCTCTCTGAGCTGCAATAAGTATTCTGGGAGTGTATGCATGTTTGTCTTTAGTGTTTGTATCTGTCTTGTCATGTGATGGACCACTAACTTTTCCAGGGTGTACCCTGTCTCTCACCCACTGACCTTTTTAAATAAGCCAGCAGCGCCATCATCTTCCTTTGAGGAAAAGCTGATTTAGACGTTAGATGGAAATCAATTGTTAGTTTCCCAAGATTCTGCTGAGGTTTAGTAAAATATGAAAGTTGTTTTTTGAGAAGTTGTAAAATCATTAAAGGATCCAAAGATACAGTAGTTTTGCAGAAATGTTGCAGATCACACCTAAATTCCCCATTGGAAACACAATCCTGTTGTTGTAGTTTCTTACAGTAGCTCATAGTTTTCTAGTAGTAGTGGTGACAGTGGTGTCGGGTGCAGGAGTTTGCCCTGCAATCGGAAGGTTGTTGGGTCGAGCCCTGGCTCCAACTTTCAGTGTCATTGTGTCTTTGGGAAAGACATTTCACCTGCATTGCCTACTGATGATGGTCAGAGGGCCCAGTGGCGCCAGTGTGCGGCAGCCTTGCTTCCCGTCACTGAACCCCAGGGCAGCTGTGGCTACAATGTAATTTACCATCATCAGAGTGTGCGTGAAGGGGTAAATGGCGAAATGTAGTGTAAAGTGCTCTGGTCAAGTCCTCTGACTTGAAGAAGCTCTATAGAAGTACATGCCATTTACCATTTACCATAGTTTATAACCCGACTACCAAAGTGCCTTCTGCTAATAAAGCTTTCCTATAAAGTTATGCCCTATCTATTAGTTTCTACCAAGAAGAAAGAAGGGCTTTGTTGTTCTATAGTTGGAGCTTCTCTTTGGGCATTGTGGAGTCAACATGTCGTCATGTATTCGTTCAGCCCAACCACTGAACCAGTAGAGTCCAATAGGTACAATTTAGTTAATTGTGCAGGTTGGACTCACCTGGTTCTGTGGATTACATTTAATAACAAAATCTGAAAACCAAATCATTAGCAACAATGTTGTACATCAAGAATAATGCTACTCGATCGTGAGACGATAGATGTTTGTCTTTAAAATAATAAAAAATCGTTGATACCCTATTGTAATATTGTGACTATATTTTGTCTACTAACTGTTTAATTCTGCCTTGTTTTGTTGCAGAGATGCCCTCTCCTCAGTTCTTTGATGGCCAGGCACTGGTATCTTGGAGCGAGCCGGATATAACTGTCGCTGTTCCCTGGTACATGGGTCTCATGTTCCGGACCCGGCAGCCAACTGGGACTCTGATGCAGGTCAATGCTGGATCCTCCTCTACCATTAACATAATGGTGAGAATACAGAATTCAACAAAAAACTAAATATTGTCAAAAAAAGCCAAAACACTTTAGGTTAAATCACTGGATTTCTCCATCTTATCACCATCTAGGTGAGGGAACAGCAGATCCGTATGGAAGTGCTGTTGAAGGAGAAGTTATTGGCAACGTTGGGTTTCCCCCAAGTCCGTGTCAACGACGGAGAGTGGCACCACTTGCTGGTAGAAATAAGAAGCATTAAAGATGGCAAAGAAATTAAATACATGGCAGCTGTTTCCTTGGATTACGGAATGTACAAGGTAAAACTTTCACTTCTAGTGTTGACTGGAAGGCTAAGATGTTATTAGAGTAACAAGTTCTCATCTTGGTCTGTGTTTTTTTAAGCAGAAGTCTGTTCAGATCGGTAATGACCTACCAGGTTTGAAGGTAGAGACACTCCATGTTGGAGGGCTGCCTGGAGAGGGAAACATTGTCAATAGAGGATTTGTCGGCTGCATACAGGTAGGTTTGTTCATGTAAAATGCCTCTTTTTCTGTTTGTCTCAGTGCATTTTTTTTTTCTTTGAGTATCATCGTCATCTGAACTTTGTCTCTTTCAGGGTGTGCGCATGGGAGAGACCGCTACCAATGTGGCCAATGTGAACATGGCCCAGGGCCTGAAAATCCATGTGGAGGATGGCTGCGATGTGGCAGACCCTTGCGACTCCAACATCTGTCCTGAGAACAGCCATTGTAGCGATGACTGGACCACACACACCTGTGTCTGTGACCCAGGTAGTGACCGGACGTAAATTCTGTGCTTTGAAATAGACCTGAAAGACTAAGATACAGTAGCAGCCATTCAAAATGGCCTTTCGCAGTCAAAAGCCAGCTGATTGGCAGCCTACTCCCCTGAAGCTCCCAGAAAAATCCCCTCCAATTTCAGCCACTGGCCTTTTCCTGGGCATGCATATTTTTTACTCCGACTCCACTGAATTAGAGGGTCTGACCAGGAGATGATGCTTCTCTTTAGATCTTAATGTCCACAAATCATGACAGAAAGAATATTTTAGTACAAAAATTGATGTTTAAAAAGGAATTTTAGGGGACCAGCCAAGGGCTAATCAAGGAAAGTGGGGAAATTTTGAATGGCTAAAACTGTATACGCTTGTAGGATCTTGTAAACGTAACAAAGAAGTTATTTTTGCAAGATCCTGTAAATCTTTTTTCAGGTCTTGAGTTAAGTTTTGTGAGATCTACAATAAACCCAGTATGTAAAAGCCACCAGCAAGTTTCACTTAGTGGGATTCATCACAATCCCTTTTCCCTCTCTGTGTCCTAGGCTACTTTGGTAAGGAGTGCGTGGACGCTTGTAAGCTCAATCCCTGTGAGCATGTCTCCAATTGTGTCCACAAGCCGAGTTCATCTCACGGATACACTTGTGAATGTGGAGAAAACTACTATGGCCAGTACTGTGAAAACAAGTAAGGGTTTAACTGCATTCTTTCCTTAAAAAGTTTGAAAATGTATCTTCAGGATTCAAAAGTCTAGCATCTCAATTCAGACTTACAAATGAATTCATTCCAATAAATCTCTGCAGTCTTATTGTTTTGGAATGCTTCCGGTCTACTTGTAATGCTTTGATGAAGGATTTCATGTGAAGCAGCCGACCCAGATCAGACAGCAGTCATTTCCTGCTAAACCTTAGCCCAACCGACACGCATCACTTCCTGTCTAAAGCAAGATGTGGGATATCCCCCTATTTGCTTCACTGATCCTCTACAGGTGTTAAGTCTCATCTGCCCTCATACTGCCACCTGTCCCCTATCAGATCACATAACAGTGATAATACTTACGTCTGGAGGACGTTTACTCTGAAATCCCACATTTTAGATGAATTTAGTAAATAACCTGACTGATGTTTTCCCCTTCAACCTCGAAGCACGACTTCTAAAAAGGGGAACTTGTTTGCAGGCTTAATTGATTTTGCACACTTGTCTTACCCTTTTACAATAGAGTGGAGAAACCATGTCCTCCTGGTTGGTGGGGTAGCCCAGTGTGTGGGCCCTGCAACTGTGACACAAGCAAAGGATTTAATAAGGAGTGCAACAAAACCACCGGAGAGTGCCGCTGCAAGGTACACACACAAACACACACCTTTCCACTTTTCTTTATTTGAGCTTTTGAGTTAATTCAGATTTTACAACACCATTATAATCTGTCATACAAGATGAAAGAAAATAAAACAACATTTTAAAAAATTTTTCCCTCAGGGATATTTCATGAGGCAAAGCTTTAAAGCTACAGTGTGTAATAATTACAGGGATATAAAGTCAGAAATGTAATATATTATACATAACTATGTTATTTATCATCACCTATGAGCTCAGCCTTTTAACCATAATATTTGCGTTGCCTTAGAATTCGTTATTTATAATTACATAGGAGCGGGTCTCGCAGCCATGGAGGCAGACATCTTTGCGCTACGGCAAGCGCAGAGCCAACAAACTAGCGATTGCGAGATCGCCCATTACGCTCGAAAATAACTACGGCAAGTTGAGAGAGATTAACTGAGACGGTACTGAACAGTAGATGGCAGTATTATGCCTGAGAAGCGTTTAGTCTGCCTGAAACCAAAGAAGAAGAAGAAGCAGGTATACTGCGCCTCAGTAACAAGAAAGGTGAACAAGGCGGCAGGCGTGAGTGACTTTGCAAACTGTTTGGCACTGTGTGGCCAAACATCAGACGAATGGAGGATCATGCCTACTCTGTATCACAACGAAAAGCGGCGGACACCGAACCCCCGTCATCTAAGAAGCGGAAACACAACGAGAATAAACGCAAGCGTGACAAGAAACGGCAAAAAACACGGATCAACATTGGCACGGAATTTACACGATGGAAGTCACTGATGGAGGAAAACGGTTTTCAAAGTGACGCTCAAGTTGCCAGTTTTCTCTTGGACAGGTAATTAATCCTACACACACAATTGTCTAATATCACTGCAGTTTTTGGAGTACAGGATGCTCAGACCTGTCTAAAACAATAACATGCTGCGTGATGATGCTGTTACTCTCCAGTATACTTATTCAGCAACGTCCCTGACGTTTCACAGGTAATGATTCAGTAATTTTCTGTAAAATAATTTTCTGGATATATACCTCGGTTACTTCTCTCCGGCTCCTTTGGAGATCTTCAAGCCTTTCCTCCTCTGCTCTAGTCACCCCGCTGGCACCGCTGCACGCCCACCCCGCCCTCTCTGCCCTCGCCCTCTGCCCTCTTCCTCGCCTTGTAACCCCCGTGCAACAAACAAGACTTGGACTCTGTAAACGGGGAATATATAATCTTCCAGCGAACACAATCTCGCTGTTAAACTAATGACTACAATTACTTCATCTGTTTATATCACCATGCAAAGCAGCTCACCAAAACGTCACAACGATGTAGAAAAAATAACGGGTATATTTATTATCTAAAGTCTACATGAAATCTATACCCTACACAGACTAATGAAATACTATCTGTAAAATTATCTATGTAAACAAACCTCATCACTTGAGAAGGTAGGTGATGCGGACGTCGTGGAAGACATTTTGTCCCGTAACGCTCGCCGTACTGTTGGGGGGGAGAAGGGGTGGGGGGGAGACGTTCATGTTGCTGCAGTCTGCAGTCTGACCGCTAGATGTCGCTGAAAATTACACACTGTAGCTTTAAAAACAAAATATATTTGTGGCTAAAGTCAGGCATATCGTTATATGTGGACAGGGCATCAGATGCATAAAATTCTGTTTTAACATGAAAAATGCAAGCTGTGACTTTAGAGAAGCAACTATTTTGGACTATGAAGATTGAAGAACAATCATTTGCATTGATGTTTGATCCTTTCCCCCCCAGGATAACTACTATCGGCCTGAGGGCGAGGACACCTGCTACCCCTGTGACTGTTTCCACATAGGCTCCGAGTCTCGAACATGCGACCCAGTCAGCGGGCAGTGCCCCTGCAAGGGAGGCGCCATCGGCCTTCAGTGCAATCGCTGCGATAACCCATTTGGTGAAGTAACACCTAAAGGATGTCAGGGTATGTGGATGGGATTTCACATCATCACAATGTCATCTTAAACTGCAGTGGCGATTTTGATCGTGTAAAATTGATTCAGAGATGATAATGATAAAAAGTTTGTTTCGAAAAAACATGATCCAGGACTAGCATGTGATGTTTCTGGTTCACAAAGGTTAGATGATGAACCACTGAAGTGTCGGAGGGATGCAAACGCTGCCACATTGCTACTTTGCATCTTTGTCATCAAGCAGTGAAGCAGAAGAGGCAATCCTGGCATGTGGACAGTGCTGGCAATGATTCGGCACTTAGATAATACAGGCTAGATGAATAGAAAACAAAAACCAATGTCACTGATTGACCTAGCATGACTCTTTTTCTGAGCTGAGTTGATGGAACATGTTCAGACTTTAAACACACTGTACAGTTCCTCTTTCTGTGAAATCATTTTGAGAAATGGTCATAAATTGAAGCAGATTCTGATCCAAAGCTGATATAAACAAACAGCCCAAACCAGGGGTTTTGTTCTTGTGTCAAAAGGGCAAATACAATTTTTATCCAAATGATTCTGAACTGTGGATCTTTTGATGGATTAATACTTGCTCAAAAAGTCACCTTAGAATAGATAGTTCTATCAAGAAAATGAAGAGGCTCACAATGTTCAATAGAAGACAATGTAAATAGTTAAAAGCTGTAGGTCTAGGTACAGATGTTATGTGTGCCAACCTAGATATGATGAGACATTTAATTGTCTATCAGAGCTTATCTAAAAGTCTGATGGGATTAGTTTAGTTTAGTCTCCCATGCCAATCTGGCATAAATGGACCAGTTGGTGACCTACAAGAAAAGGAATTTACATCTAAGGGGAATGCTTCATGGAAAACAGTCCTGGATTGACATCCTAAGTAATGTTTTTTGCTTGAAATAACTCTGTTTTCTTTGCAGTTGTGTATGAACACTGCCCAAAGGCATTTGATGCTGGCATTTGGTGGCCAAAGACCAAATTTGGACGCCCTGCTGCTATGGACTGTCCCAAAGGATCTATCGGTGGGTAACATAATGATCCCTTTCTTAACTGATTCTGAGTGTATAAGCTTGTAATGTCACTGAAGCTAAGATGAGAAACACCTGATTGTTGCAGTGGTTATAAAAGCAAACTGATTGTTTCATCAACTTTTTTTTGCATTGCAGCTTTTTTTTAGTCTTTTAAAACTATTTAAAATAAAACAAATCAGGAAAATCCTGTTTATGGTAGCTCTAAAAAGAGCTGGATTGTGGCTGGAATGACTGTCTCCTTGTGTTGTAAATTTGATTAAATATACAATTGGTTAAGGGTTTTCACACAAATACTTTAAAAGCAAAATGTGAACCTTTATGTAATTGCTTTTTTGATAGAGATAAAAGTTAAAATAGCTTCTCTCTAACATTGTTAATTTGGGTATTGTTAATTTTTTTTGCACTTTACAGAATAATATCATTTAAATTACGAAGGTTGTCTGCTTAGGTAGCTAGCCTGCAATCTGATGTTATAAAGTCATTTAACAAGTGGGGGAAGGGCAGCCCTTCTTATTTTCTATTTTTCAAACAGCCAATAAAAACTCTGACTAAGCTGAATCTTGGTTACAAAGCCCATGCCTTTACAATGCACTCTTTATTTAGACAAAAAAATGTCTAACTATGCAGAGAAACAAATCATTTTGATAAATGCAAATTAAAAAGCTTTAGCGAAAAGAAAAATCCACACAAATGACAAATGATCTGAAGCTTTTTAGCCCTGACATGAGGTGATATCAAAATGACAATTTATTGTATGTATCAGTTAAACTATATGTGCAGCTGTTCTTTTGTCAGCTAGTCTTTTAAGGCGTGCAAACACACCTACACAGGTTCAAATCACAGTAATGGGGATCTTTTATTAATGCGTATAATCCAGAGCTTTCACGCTAGGGAGTCATGCACAGGTTTGCTCCTTAACACTCCTGGAAAAACACCAGGTACATTAGGAGCTAAAGGTGTACCTTTCGCTTCACTGCTACTCTGTGTTGTTAGATAGATAGGCTTGATTTTCTTTTGGACCCTAACTGCAGGGTTTACTTATTTGTTTCTAGGAAACCTTGGTCACTTTGAGGAAGATATTTTCTTTCCCAAAATTTCCTTTATGCATAAGCATTTAAAGAGATGGTAAAGCAAATGTTTCTTTGTTCTTTCCAGGTACAGCTATTCGTCATTGTACTGATAAGGGCTGGTTGTCTCCTGAACTTTTTAACTGTACCACAGAGACTTTATCCAGTTTGAAGAAGATGGTGAGCACTCCTCATAGCATTTAAAATCACTTATAGTTAACAAGCTACTGCACATATACTCATCTGATTTTCTGTTTTTGAATCATTTTCAATGATCTGCCTGGAGCGACCAAAGCTTATATTGGTTCTACAACTATTTGGGTTCCAATTTTTGCTGTTTCCGAATCACCTTTTCAGAATGAGGAGCTGCGTCGCAACAGCTTTAAGATGAATAGTGAACAGTCCAAAGACATTGTGCGTTTGCTGCACAGTGCCACAAATAAGAAGCCGCACTTCTACGGCAACGATGTCAAGATGGCGTCCCAACTGCTGAATCACGTGCTGAAGTACGAAAGCCGGCAGTCTGGCCTCAATCTCACTGCCATGAAGGATGCAAAGTTCAATGAGGTACAAAAGAAAAAAATATTCTCCTTAAACTCAATCTAATTTTAACAAACAATAGAATTAATACTCAATGTAAAAAATGCAGTTTTTCGTGATAAATTGACTGATGGTTGATTCCCCTTCAACCAAATAGAATGCAGGAAATCATTTGTGAATTTGATTGAGGGTAAAATGTGAGGAAATTCTACACACAACTTATGATCCAGTCATCTTATTCTCAGCAGCAAGTAAGCGGCACATACTATCATTGACATGTGATAAAATAATAGAAAACTTGTTCAGGGAGCCTCTTAGAAAGGGTATTTTAATCTGGTGCACATGTTTGCACCTTAGTAATTTCTCCCTGGGCAATTGCCTGTTTTAGCTTTATCCAAATTGATAAAGCTGATTCTATTTACTTACAAGTTTAGACAAGTTTCTAACTTCCTATTATTCTCTCCTTAGTTATACAGATTCAAACACATTGGCCTCACTTGAATGTCAAGTTCACATATCCTTCTCATAACCTAAATCATGCAGACATACAATTCGTAGGGGTTGATATCTTTATAGAAAGTTTAATTGTTTTGTTTTTGGTCAGAATTTGGTGCGAGCAGGCAGTGCCATTCTGGACCCCGGCACCAAGGACCACTGGGACCAAATCCAGAGGACAGAAGGCGGCACCGCACACCTGCTTCGCAACTTTGAGGACTATGCCAACACCTTGGCCCAAAATGTCAGGAAAACCCACCTCAAACCATTCACCATTGTCACTGACAACATGAGTAAGTGCTTGAACAGTGTTCAAATTGCTCATATGTCCATATGTCGTGTATTGTTTCTGTTGGCTTTGCTTCATGTATGTTGTCCTCTTCTTCTGTTCCACAGTATTAACTGTTGACTACTTGGATGTGTCAGACCCAGAGAAGGCAACGCTACCTCGCTTTAAAGACATCCAGGAGTCTTACCCCAAAGAGCTTGGATCTTCCGTGCACTTCCCAGTTTTTAACTTACAAGGTCATGTCCAAAAAGGTAAGAACCAAATCTAAATCAGAACTACTCTGCCTCTTTTACTACATTCTGATCCATCAGCTCTTTCCTCTTTTTGCCACAGAGAAGCCAACTCCAGAACCTCAAACCCAGACTGGTCACCCTAAAGGGGAGGAGCACAGGGCGTCTGAAAGAACACGACGTCACCTAGAGCCACCCAAACCTAAAATGGTGGCCGTCGTCATTGTTTACAAGTCGCTGGGCCAGCTACTCCCAGAAAGATACGACTCAGACCGGAGGAATTTGAGGTACGGTTTGTGACATTCAGTTTTTACTCAGTCATACTCAAAGTACATGAGATTTGTATCCAGTTTCTGGCCTTCTGTTTTATAAAGCTCCTTAAGAAGTGTAATAAACATAATTGCTTTTGGCCTTTCTGCTGCAATCAGACTACCGGTATCAGATATTATGGTTTGAGCAGAAGAATTGTAAGACTGTGTGAAAGAAGTCACAGTAAAACAGGGACTCTATCTATTCTCTTAAAAGAGAGAAATTGCTGAAAATTAATCCATACCTTAAACAATTTCATATACCCTGTTAACAAGATTAGTACAGTTTCAATTACTAAAATAATTGTATGCAATATATTTAAACTAAAATGTAGAAATTTATCTGAGTTCAGAGATTTTTTAAATTACTGCTGACATAGACATAATAATTCTTAATAACAGATAGCTAATTTTCATCACCAGGTCTTAGAAACACATAGTGACATTGAGTCTTCTTAATCCAACTTCCACGCCGAAGAGTGTTTTTATTATTATTAATATTACCTGATCTGGTAGCTGTGGATTTTCAGATGAGCACATAACCAAATAAACCATGTTACCAGTCAATAACTTACTACTGCAGTATTTTTCATGCAAATAAGACAGAAGAAAACCCCAACATTATATGGGTTTTAATGAATGTTGAAATGCTAATCTATATTAAAGAGACCTGTAACTGGGCGTGCAGGTGACACAGCGGTTAGCGCGTGCGACCCATTTACAGAGGCCTTGGTCCTCGACGCGGCCGACCAGGTTCGAGTCTGACCTGTGGTCCTTTGCATTGTGTCTGTCCCCTCTCTCATTCCCCTTTCTTGTCAGCCTACTGATGAAAAATCTAACCACTAGTGCATCAAAAACTTAAAAAAAAAAAGAGAGAAAGGGATGTGTAACTGTGCCTTGAATTGCAGGGTTCCCAACCGTCCAGTGATCAACACAGCAGTAGTAAGTGCCACAGTCCACAGTGAAGGTCCACCCTTTCCTCCAGTCCTGGACCCACCCATCACCTTGGAGTACACTCTGCTGGAGACAGAGGAGCGGACAAAACCAGTCTGTGTTTACTGGGACCACTCTTCCTCGTGAGTTACCTGCAGTCACATCCATGATTGGTGGCTAAAATGTTATAAAAAAAAATTTTTCACAGGGAATTCGTTCATAAATGCTTCTGTTTTAGCCCATTTTACTGAAACCCTGTCTGGTTTAGGATTGGAGGTACAGGCGGGTGGTCCTCCAAAGGCTGCGAGGTGCTAGACAGGAACAACACTCACATTAGCTGCCAGTGTAATCACATGACTAGCTTTGCTGTGCTGATGGACATCTCCAAGAGAGAGGTAGAGTCAGGAGGTTTCACTCCAACCTTGCCGCTCAGCCTGTTCTGCAGCTTAACCCGATGACTTTGGTTTCTTTCCCAAACCAGCATGGCGATGTCCTCCCACTGAAGATCGTCACTTACACCACAGTCTCCATCTCCCTCTTCCTCCTCCTTCTCACCTTCATCCTTCTGTGCCTTCTGCACCGACTCCGATCCAACCTGCACGCCATCCACAGGAACCTGGTGGCGACGCTCTTCTTCTCCGAGCTGGTCTTCCTGCTAGGCATCAATCAGACGGACAACATGGTCAGTTGGTGTACAAATGAAGATATAAACATTTGGGATGTTTACTTGTTCTCAGATCTCTAAGTCTATAGGTTTGATAAATACATTTAGCTGCGAAGAAACAGATTTCTGTGTCTGCAATGCAGAAATGGAAATGTTTTTAATTGCTAAATATGCACACACTTGTGTGTCATTGGATAATCTCTGGCAGCTTAGTAATCAGAGGACAGGTTTGGTCCTTGAATGTCTTAAACTTTTCTCTCTAGGATTTTTGTAAGATTTATTCCTTAGAAGTTCGATCACTGTGGAAGGAGATCAATTTTTAGACTGGCGTTTCTGTGATTTGGCTTTATGCTTGGAATCCACATCCTACTCACAGACTGAGCCATGTCACCTTTTTTAGATTTGTGGTTATGTTTAGCAGTTTTTTATCAAATCTTCTTCTATTGCATTGTTCACAAGGCCATGAATCAGTGCAGACTTATGCAGCAGAATCAAAAATAAAATCACGTGGAGTTAAGGGCTAAATGATGAAGAGTCCCAACTTTTATTGTGCTGGGATTTGACTTTGGATGTGTCTGGCTATCTGTACGTATATAGAATATAGCTTCTAATTAGAGCCATATTAATCTATTTTCTTGCCTTAAGTGGAAGTTGATCATTTTGAGTTTAAGTGTGTGAGTGTGTGTGTGAGTTCAGGTTCAACCTGTGGAATGTTGTCAGTCTGTGCCCGAGGCAATATGCTGCAAGATTTATAATCAGTCAGAGCAACTTCTCTGTTTTTCTTTCTCTGATCTCTGCAGACATACTAAGAGTTGTTCAAATGTATTATAAAAGACATCCTCTGACTCACAACATTCCTAAATAGATAATTAAGATGGAGGATGAAGCAAAAAAGAAATTGAAAGGGAGAAAGGCAAGAGAACAAATCATTAGATCATCAACTATAGTTAATTAATTTTCAATGTCTTAGGGGTATTTTTCTACATCTTGGAGCCAATGTGAGGCAATGTAAAGGCTGGAATTAGGATGATAAAGTAGTTAAGCTTGAGGAGTCTATTAACCTTTCCTTTCTTTTGCTTGTTTTTTCCCCCATATTGTCCTTTTCCTTCCAGTTTGTGTGTACCGTAATAGCCATCCTCCTCCACTACTTTTACATGTGCACCTTCGCCTGGATGTTCGTTGAGGGTCTGCACATTTACCGTATGTTGACCGAGTTGCGAAACATCAACCATGGACACATGAGGTTCTACTACGCCATTGGCTGGGGCATACCCGCTGTCATCACCGGTAGGAAGAATTCAGAGACAAGGCAGTTTCTATTGCATCTAAATAAAAAATAAATAAAAAAATGGAGCCTGTTTGGACGACAGCCTCATAATAGATATTTTGCTTGAATATATTAGCACCCAAAATGTGCTTTGGAAGGGGGTTACTACCCGATCTGTCCAATTAGGAAGCAAGATCTGTACCGTCAGTTCATTTGCGCATGCGCAACCAGATATACATCCGGGTGGCCCTTGATTTCCTTTTATAAAAAATACCTAAATTATGTTTTTCCCTCCTTAAAAAGAGTAAGTGTACTCAACCATAATGTGTTAAAGGTTAATCATGTATTTCCTGAGAAAATAAAAGCCTTAAAGTCCTTTCTGTTTTATCACTCATCTGTGCCCGATTTGTAACAGAAATGGGATTATGGGATTCTATGCTACTTCAACTTTGGATTTAAACATAAATCTAGTCTTTTGGAGTTTTATGTTTCCTTCCTATTTAATATTATGGTATTTAGTGTGGAATCTAAAGAAAGAAAAAAAATGCAGGTCAACATGGTTTAATCTTATTTTGCCAGACTACTCATGTCCGATGATGACGTCAGACAAGCAGTCTAAAGGAGAAATTATAAAAAACTTCAAAATTGTCTCAAAAAAGTCATAAAACATTTTTAAAGATGTGTATTAGCATTCTTTAGTGAGTTAAGGATAGAAATAAGTAATTCTAGTACCATAATTACAATATTTATAGAAAACCGGATGTATATCTGGTTGCACCTGCGCAAATGAGCTGTTGGTACGGATGCTTCCGGGACGGATCGGGAAGTGACAGGGTCCACTGAATGCAGAGGACATGGTCTCTACTTAAAGGTTAAATATGTTTTATACAGGAATTTACAAGTAAAATATCATAGCTAATATCATTAGCTAAAGATTTGGGGATTTAGCCTGGCCGTTTTGAGAAACATAATACGTTCATTTTAGCTGTAGCTATGAGGGAGTTTAGTTGTTTGTCTCAGCTGTTAAAGTTTCTGCAGATTCATACTAAACATGAATCTAAGACCCACATCTCAGAATGAGAGAGATGTCTGAAAGAACTGTAACTTTAAATATTTTGATGTTTGCAAAAATAATGTTGCCATATTTATTTTTGTGTGTAGGTTTGGCAGTCGGCCTAGACCCTCAAGGTTACGGAAATCCAGATTTCTGCTGGCTTTCCGTTCATGACACTCTGATCTGGAGCTTCGCAGGACCCATTTTCGTGGTCGTTCTTGTACGTGCATGAAAATAATTTTTTTTTTCATATAATGCATATATCACCAGATTTAGTTTTCATCCAAAATCAAAAAGTAAATTCTTTAGAGAATGCTTTCACTTCTATTTCTTTCATAATATTATTCAAGATATCAGATTATTTCTTTTCATTGCACCTTAAAAGAAGGTGCATCAAGGCAGCTATGTACAGTAGCGTTAAAAACTAATTGTTTATTTTCTCCTCATTTAAGGTGAATATAGTGATCTTCGTTTTAGCTGCGAAGGCTTCCTGTGGTCGAAGGCAGAAGGTTGTGGAGAAATCAGGAGCTATGTAGGTGTCTTAGCCTCTGACTATTCAAGGTAGATCAAAGCATCAAGTCATTTATGTAACCTCACTTTTTTTTTTTTTTTTACTCAGTCCTGCGCTGCGTATGGCCTTTCTCCTCCTGCTACTTATCAGCGCCACCTGGTTGCTCGGCCTCATGGCTGTCAACAGCGATGTAATGACTTTCCACTATCTGTTTGCCATCTTCAGCTGCTTACAGGTAAAAATATGTGACTTTTTAAACCCAAAATGAATCATATCTGTGATTAGTGAGCTTACACATGTTTTTTAATGTCTTCAATAGGGAGTCTTCATCTTCTTCTTTCATGTGATCTTCAACAAAGAAGTGAGGAAAAACCTCAAGAATGTCTTCACAGGTAAAAAGACGGTCCAGGACGACTCCAGCACCACCAGGGCGTCCTTACTCACCGTAAGTGGATTTACTTTAATATTCAGGAATGCACTTAAAAGCTAGATGATCTCTAAGATGTAAAATCTACATTTTTTTCAGATCAGTCTGCTTTTGTTCTTTATCCTCAGCGCTCTCTCAACTGCAACACATACGCAGAGGACGGCCCGCTGTATCGCACAGCCATCGGGGAGTCCAACGTCTCCTTGGACAGTACACTCAGGTCAGCCAAGAGCCGCAGCAGCTACCTGGCTTACGCACACAGGTACACAACTGCCACTGACCGCATGGCTGCTTTTACTAGAATCCTGCATGATACGTGTCGCTATATGGAGATTTCTGTCTTTGTTCCCAATTTTTTCTGCTTGTCTGTCAATGCATCATATGTCTCACACTTACTAATACACACAAAGCCCTTTGCAAGCTGAATGTTATGCTGGCTGTATGCCATTTACTCCTGATTATATTCTTTATCCAAGCTGGAAAAGGAAGGACTAAAAGGACATAAAAAGTGTGTTTGCCCTAAATTTGAGCCAGAAAATAAGATGATCTGCCAATGAAAGTATTTTTTAAATAAGATACTTAGATATTACGCACTTGAAATAAGATTATTGGTTATTTTTCACATTTTAAATAGAAATCATACTCTTCCATTGGCAAATTTCCCTACTTTCAGAATAGCTGACAAAATTTTTCCTTATTTCTCTCTTTTTCTGTCACATCATGCATGCTGCTGTATGATGGTACTTGCATTGAATGACCACGCTTTGATTTTCCAGTGCATGGCTTGTTGCCCCATAAAAGAAAAACACACCACACAAATGACAGTAAATTCAATCTTAATAAAACCTACTGTGTAAAAAACAAAAACATAATTGTGTCTAGTTACTATTTATGTTATGAGATTTTGAGTGTTTAGTGAAGCATTATCATCCTGAACACCAGCAATGTAATGATTTGACAATTTAGCAAATAATGATGCAATAACATTTTCTCATAAATGTGTAAGCAGTGATTGGAATTTTACTCAAAACAGTAACTACTTCTGGTAACTTTTTAGTTATTTATTTACTTACTGCTCAATCAAAGTAACTGGTTACTAGCTAAAGTAACTATCAAGTTACTTTTTATTATCTAAAATGTAGAAGAAATTTGATAGCTTTTCATTATTGCAATTCTAAATACAACTAAAGACTTGAAGATGTTTGTTATTAATTAATAAATGAATACATAAAAGGATTACACATTTAAAAACAGTGAATACTAATCAGAAGTATTTTTACATGTTTGCTTTGACTATTGTAATGTAGATATAGTGATTTTTTTTTCTTTATGATAAAAGAACAATAAGGTGTTTTAGAACTTTATATTTTTGCAAGTTGACAGTTTTTAAACAGCTATAAAATAGGTATGAAGCTGAAAAATCCTGCTTATTAAGCAATTCAACAGAAATGAAATATAGGCTACTTTGCAGCAGAATTCAAAAAGGATTACACTATTCCATAAAAAAAAACCCTGTCAGAACTAGTATATTTCTGTGGAAAGAAATGTAAAATATGCAAGCAACACCAGTATAGCAGTGAGGAAAAGTACGTGTAGATTAAAGGCAGCCGGTTGTCAGTCAGTGTTGATATGCTGCGGAGACGGTGTGTTTATGAGAATTCACATTGACTGACTGAGTTGCTGCATTAATTTCAGGAGATGCAACAGTGTTACCATTATGTGAAAAGTATTTACTTTTTCAATGAAAGACTAACACAGTTACTTACTCCGTTATGATGTAAATTATGTAGGTTGCATAACTCTTTTTTTTTTTGTTTTTGTTTTTGCCTGAAATCCAGAAGACAAAGAGATCTTACTTCAAAGTTATTACCTGAAATAATAAAAAAGAAAAATAGTCATTTATAGACCCAATAATTTACATATCTGAGGTAAGGAAAAGAATTACACTAAAAATGCTTAGAACATAAAATTATTTTCAAGTTTTATCTTACAAACACAACTATGGAAGGAGAGCTGCTTGATTCGTCATAGAATAATTAGATATGATGACTATCCCATCTACTGTAGCTATTTTTAATTTTCAAAATGCAGAAAACCGCAAGCCACAAGCTCATTTCAAGAGATGCAGTTCAGTTTTTTTTTAAAGAAACGGTTAGATCCAATGAACGCTTTTCAAATTATTTCTAATGCATGGACTTTTTATTATTGTGGTTTTAAGACTTTAAGACGAGATGGGGACAGTTTCCGTTCAAGTGGGACATTTCCACCTTGTCCCTGCAGCTGTTTGTGAGTCCTCAGCTACATCCAGAAGTTTCTCTCTGATCAGCCATCAGACAGCTCAGAGTCTCTGGTTGCAAATTTTTCCCTCCAGCAAATTTCTCAAACCTGAAATAAACGGCTGCAAGAGAACAAAAGGGAATAAAAATGCCATTCCAGACCTGTCAGCTAGTAATTTACGATCAACAGGTAAAGGTACCTAAACCTAATTTATGCTTTGGATTTAACGGCACTAACTGGTTGCTCAAGATTGAAATTGCACCCATTTTGGTTGAACAATGAGTTACCCATAAATCCTCCACCATGGGTAGTATTTGATAGTAAATGCTTAAGGTTTTTACTTTCATCAGACCCATGGACACTTAAAACAACATTTTTGTTTTAGTCCTGTCAAAGCAAACAACGGGAGCTGGTGTTTTGTAACAAGAGATGTCTGATGTTTCACTCTTGATCATTAGTTTTCAAAAACTACAAGCTCGGGCTTGAATCAACTTCCAGTAACGCTGTACTTCCCCCTAAATACCTCTGTATCTTCATTCTTCTTCTCCCGGATCTCCTGGATCTCTAGGGAAGAGTCGGGTCAGAAGCCCAGCTCATCAGGAACGGCTAAAGGACACACAGATCTTGATGGACCTCTTTTCCATCGAAATGGCACCAAAGGAGATGGTGAGGGTTTTTTGGGGGGGTTTTTTTGTGCTCATGGATGATATTGTGGAACAATTGTCTTAGTTTTAGTGCTGGAGGTTTATTATGTTTAACTGCCTTCCCTGTTCCTGGCAGACTCTGACTCAGACAGTGAGATGTCTGTCGACGACGAACACAGCTCCTCCTACGCTTCCTCCCACTCCTCTGATAGCGAGGACGAAGATTTAGATGTCAAGACTAAATGGAACAACGAGAGACCCCTTCACAGCACCCCTAAAGGTACCATTGGTAAAACTGAAACTTGTTAAAATATCAAAGTAAATAGAGAATTTAGAAAAGAAATGTATTGCTATGCGCATATTATGAGGCATAATAATAGAAAATTGAGTGGAAGGACAAAAGTGAGCAAGCAACTGTAGGGTTATAAATATCCCCAATTCACAACGCAACGCATATCATCTCAAGTCAATTTAAAGAAACAATACAGTCAGATTGGTTAAAATTTTCCTTCAAGGAAACCAGTTGATATCATCCAATCATTGAGTTACAAGACATGCTCACCCCTTGATGAGCTTGCGGAGAAGGATTTCGCTCTCTGTTTGCCATAGTAACAGAAACAAGACTACGCTAAAAAACATGCCAATCCTTAACAGCATTAAACAGCTCAGCTAATATTTTATTCAAGAATGGTGTCTCGGTCGAACAGGAACAGACCAGATGAAGCTACTACGACAAGAGAAGGCAGAGAGAACATAGTTATAGGTAAAAATTAACTGATACTGCAGAATGAAGACTAAAAATAGGATGAAGCAGAAAGATAAAAAGTGGCCCCTATGTTCTCCAGCAGCCTAAACATATAGCAGCACAAATGTAGAAAATAATTATGGATAACCTAACCTAACTATTCTGGATTCATGGAAAAGGTATAGCCAGAGCTTTATCAGTTTTGAACAAATTGATTAATCAAATCAGTAACTGTTACTTCTTTATTCAATTGTTATAATATTTCACATATATTTCCAGTATAAGAGGTGCAAAAAAGTTCCAAAGGTAGGAATGTTGCAATCCAATCCCAAAAATTAGGCTGTTTGCCTCCATCAAGGTCAAAAAATAAAAATAGAAAAATAAAATAAAGGATTAGCTCCTCTACCATTAATGGTAGTGATTTTTTGATAGAAAATGACACATTTTCTGCCTATTTTCTTTTTCAAACTAAAGGAGACACTATATCAGTTAATTTAGCCTTGAGGCAATGTCATGTGACGTGCTCTGTGCAGGACCTCTGCTCTTAGAGCTGCAAAGGAAACAGCTCAATCACCAGTTAATAAATGTTTTGTACACACATGAATCCCTATGATGACATCAACATATTTAATTTAACCTAGCTACTAGCACAGAGAGACACATGAGAGTTAATTTCATTTTTCAACAAAGTTACTGATTTTTCTCCCAGTTTTATTTTAAAAATATATATATAATTTTAACCTTTTCTCTGCATGCCTCCTTTTCCTCATAGGTGATTCAGTTTCCAATCATGTAAGACCTTACTGGCCAACAGGGGGCACCACAGCTAGTGACAGCGAGGACCCAGGTGGGACAGACAGGCTGAGGGTGGAGACAAAGGTGAACGTGGAACAGCATCCGGAAAATAAACTGAACCACATCGGTGAAACGGAGAGGGAAGCTCCCCTGGAGGGAGACAAGGAGATGCCTGGTAACGGCAAAGACCTGGCGCCTCCTGGCCAACCCAACAGCAACCACCAGCCAGAGCAGAGAAAAGGTGAAGTAACGCACCTGTGATGAGAAGTTAAACGACTCAACCTCAAACGCTCTAACCCGGTCGTTCTTCCTATTCAGGTATCCTAAAGAACAAGATCAGCTATCCTCCTCCTCTGAATGACAAGAATATGAAGAACCGTATGAGGGAGAAGCTGAGCGACTACAGCTCCCCCACCATCACCTCTCCCCCACCCATCAACAATAACAACACCTCGGGCCTGCCTCCCTCCTCCGTCAACATCATGAACCCTTCGTCCCGGCCGTCGTCGCAGGCCTCCAACGACAGAGCTCGCCTTGGCAACCACGAGCGCGGATCTCTGGTGAAGCCACCTATCACTCCTCGCCCTCAGATTCCCTCCGGTCCACCACTAGGGGGCATCTATCGGGAAACCAATGGGGGCGTGGCCATGCACTTAAAGACCGGGACAGTGAATGGAGGAAACCACTCCGACTCAGAGTAAGCGATAAATTGCGGCATGCAGCAGCAATTGTTTGACACAGCTTCTTCGCATGACTAATATAGCAGAAGTAGTCATTGTTAAGTTAACACCTTCATTAATTGAGCGATAGGAAGCCTTAATGGGGGAGTGTTGGCCTAGTGGGTTAGAGCAGTGTGCTCGTGCTCTGAGAAGCTTGCAAGTCCCTGGTTCAAATCCCACACTCTACACTCCTGAGCAAAACCCTTAACCCCTGATTGCTCGCCAGGCGCCGCACAATGGCAGCCGACTACTCCGTAAGGGGATGGTTTAAATGTAGAGGTAAATTTCTCCAATGTGAGATCAATAAAGTTTAATAATTCTTATATTATACACCATATAAGGCTGGTAATTTAAGTAAGTGTAATATAATATAGCTTTTTACACATTTCATCACATTATAGCCACAAGCTTCAAAGTATTTTAGAAGTTAATGAGACCGACCAACAGAAAGTAGCACATAATCAGGAAGAGGAATAAAAATGACACATGGTTTTTACAGTTAAGAGAAAATAAAACCTAGAGTGTATTTGTGTTTAAGCCCCTTTTACTCTGAAAAGACCAATGGAAAGAACTTTTCTTTGAAGAATCTCAAAGGACTTTAAGAGAACAAACAAAAAGATCAAGAAAATTGTAGAGACAGCATATTTTGCTTGTATATTTAGGAAAAAACTTGCATTTCTCCTCTAAAATCATGCTTGATTCCAGTGCTTTATAAAATCCCAGTGTAATGCATTGAAGCTTGTGGTTGCACCCTGACATAATGTGAAAATTATAAATATCTTTACCTTAGCATGAAAATTATGCACCCATCCTGCTTAGCTGCTGCACAAGGACCTCCTGCATCCCTGCATCCATTTTTCACCTTGCATGTTCTCCTTTTTCCCTCCTCTCCCTAATTACTGCCTCCCTGCATCCCCTCCCTCTCCTTTCTCCCGGCCCGCCAGTGGCAGTAACGAGACTTCAATCTGACCCGTTAGGGAGTTCGAGACTAGCCCACCCCTGTGAGAGGAGAAGCCTGCAGACGGGACGTGTGCCGAGAAGGGAAGAAAAATAAATCGAAGTGAGATGAAGATGGAGAGAGGGTGAACTTTGGGTGATCTACCCGCCTGTACCCCTCTTTCATGTTTAAGCGTGCAGTATTAATGGCAGACATTAGGAATACCTGGGACACCAGAGATAAGGATATGAGAGAGAATAAAGGGAAAAGTATAAGAGAGAAGACGTGTGCCAAAACCACAACAAAGAACACTTCCAGAATGAATGATCGGAGGATTCTTGAGGACATCTGCCAGAGAAAAGTCTGATGAATGATCCCAAGCTGGTACATTTGTAGTCCAAAGGGATTTAAAAGACTACAATCTCTCCTCAAGGGTCAAACACAAACTGTTATCAACGAACGCCTTTGAGTCCTGTAGTTGGGGGACGCTTGCATCGAGGACTCCAAGGTTTCTAAAGAGCCTCTCAGTGCAGTGTATGTAGAGTGTAATTACGGTGTAGATATTTTGTTTTTTAAGTGAAGAAGAAATAATCTATTTTGTATTTCAGCTGCAGCAGAGAACAAATGTGTACACTTTGAAAATAACATTTTAAAAATGCCTGAAAAATGTTGGGAAGACGACTAGATTGTGCCTTTTACAGTAGGACTGAGGCCTTATTCACTCACACCTTACAGGTTTTCATGGTGGTATGAGAAATCCTGGCTCAATTCACAAGAGAGGAGTGGTTTAAATGTTATTTTTTTAAACAAAGCCTAAATCTGCCATCTGATGGGACCTGCCTGTTTGTTAAATAGTGGACCCTTCTGGTAAGCAAAGTTACAAATTACAAATAAGGCACCTATGGATTCACCTTTATCATTCATTTCATCCTGGCACTGTTGGATCTAATTTATAAATCCGTCATCTCTTAATAGAAACCCAATTTCCCTGTATTTTGCAGCTCAGTACAGCCAGTTTGTTTTACACTGCTGTTGATAAGTGTTTTTTTTGCTTTTGTATGATCTTAAAACACTGGAAAATGTTTTGTAAAATGATGTATATTTATTTTTTCATGTTTTTTAAAGACACTGGAAAAAACCCAACAAAAGACGATTGTGATTAAAAAATTAAAAACAAACTAATGAATTTTCAAGTGTTTGGTTCCTTCTTGTGTCTGCTAAATAAGACATAGCTGGTACAAAGGAAAACAACTGATAAGGATGACTTAGTTTAGCAAAATCTGAGATAAGCCAACATCAGTGTCTGACCATACTAATATGGGTTTGGAAATATAAACAAACTCCTAATGATTGTGGAAACCCCTCCCAGTATACCAACTGTTATGTTTGAATGCTTTTGTTGAGGCAGACGTGAGAACTTTCTGCTTTGCTTCTTTCACTTTGAGTTTTTTGGGTCACAGGTATTTGTCTTTAGGTAGATTTTGTGTTTTTTTGAAAGGGATTCCACACGATGCACATTTTGCTGCGTTATAGTTGTATTCCAGAAGGGATTCAATTCTTTTTTTCCCAAGAAAATGTAAACACAATAACTTAAAATGCAAATATTTAAAGCAAAACAAAAATCTTTTTTTTTTTTACAACTAACTCCAAAATAAATATTTGATCTTAATTTATGATAATTTTTTTCAGTTTTGTGTTATTTGAATCACTAATGTGGATTTTTCATTTTTTTAAAGCATAACTGCATCTTAATTGTTGTCAGAAAATCTGTAACTATCCTCATATTGACTGAAAGTAGATTTAAAAAAATCGATCTCTTTTCTGAGCTCTTTTCTGCAGATAGGTGAATTTCCCCTATCAAGGATTAATAAAGCCTATCTATCTATCTATCTATCTATCTATCTATCTATCTATCTATCTATCTATCTATCTATCTATCTATCTATCTATCTATCTATCTATCTATCTATCTATCTATCTATCTATCTATCTATCTATCTATCTATCTATCTATCTATCTATCTATCTATCTATCTATCTATCTATCTGTTTCTGTCTGTCTGTCTAACCAATCATTTCAATATGTAGGAGACATATTCTTTGCTCTAGATCTATCGATCATTAAATATTGAAGAGTTTTTTAGAGAACTAACTGTTTCAGGTTACACTACAGAATCTTAGTGTGATTAAAATGCAGGCTTTGACTGAAACCTAAAGTTGGAATTGCCAGCGCATTTTAGCCTGTTGTTCTGCTTCAAAACTAAAGTTTGGTCCTGAATCAAGTCAAGAACTGGTGGATTTTTGCATTAGCATCAGCATACTAACAGTGTGACTGTTAGTATGATGTTTATTTTCTGCTGATAACATATAAAGTAAGGGCGCACTACTTCACCATAAAAAGTATCCCTTCTGTCTCATAGATTATAGAATAGTTTCCCAAACATCTTAGGGACAATCAACATGTTTTATAATGCTCTTCTTGGTGTTTTTACCTTGAAACAGTCCTATTCATGACATGGTTCCCAATTTTCTTGTTTCCTTATAGTTAAATCCTAAACCAGCAGTGTTTTAAATGTTTTCTTTTGTTTTTATATATCATCTTTACACTCTTGGAGTAATTTTGCTAGGCCAGTCAATTTAATGATAATTTCTCTCAGTAATTCTCTGGATTTTTAAAGCCTTTAGAAATGGATTTGTAACTATTTCCAGATTGATGATGGTGTGCTGCCTTTTCACATCTTTCAGCCTACTTCAAGTCATCAAACCTGAAGTGTGGTAAATTGTGATAAATGCATCCTTTCACATGGGAAAAATAACCTTTGGAGAAAGAGCTAGATTGGTCTGGATCGGAAAACTAAAGGTTCCTTAAAGAAGATTTTTCACTAAATTATACCAGGTGAAACTAAAATTTGAGTTCTGGATTTAACATTTTGATGGACAAAAAAGTTTTTTTTTAATCTGAAATGCAAAATGTTTATATATTTTTTACAATTTTGGTACAATCGCCGCTTAAGGTGGGTTACTCTATGAGCTAAAGGCATGTTCCAGAGTATGACATTTAACGATTAATCGATTATTAACTTAGTTGACGATTATTTCAATAATTGATTAGTCACGATCAATCCGATTAATAGTTTCAGCTCCTATACTGCTATATATATATATATATATATATATATATATATATATATATATATATATATATATATATATATATATATATATATATATATATAAGCTGTCTGGTCTCACATTGGTACCATTTTAGTTTCTCTGGAGTGTGGAAGCTGTGTTCTGGTCTGGAGCTCCAAAACTGAAGGGCTTAGTAGATAACCGGGAAACAGATGGCACCATCACATTTCACTAGCTGGTTAGGAGTTTAGTTGCTTTGCCTACTGAAGTCGGTCCTCGTCTTTGTTGTCAAAGACAATAACAAGTCTTAATAGAGATACTGTGTCAAAATATGTGGTTAGATGAGTTGCTGTAGACTTGAAACTTGAAAGCTATATAAGCATGTATTTTCGTACCCGTATTAAATTTCACAAACTTCCTTGACACCGGAGACACTGTAGACAGGTTATTGAACTGACACTGTTGTTTTCTTTATCTGTGCCCCATCACAGCCAAACTAACTGAATTATTCACCTGCAGCAGAGCTACAGTTGCTACTCTGGGTTGAGTTCAGTGCAGATCAAGCCTACAAGGTCGTTGACTGTACAGGCCTGCCATCTACTGGTAAGAAGAAGCCCACTCAAGACTATATTCTAATTAAATAAGTCATTGGGTGTGCCTTCTAGGATTTTTTGGCACATACTGTTTCCTTGACAGTTGCCATAATGGAAATAGGAGGGCAAAGAATAAGAAGGCATGCAGGAAACAGTCCCAGGTACATTGTTAGTTTGATGCTGTCCTTTTTTTGTACATCTCTGGTGTTGATGCTATTTTTCACATATTAATTACTGTAAAAATGTCCGCAGCTGTTATTCTTTTTCTAAATCCTCCAGATACAGAGTATTTACATTGTAAAACACTGCACAGTATAATATTCTATTTGTTTTATTTTCCTATCTGGTATTTTTATAAACTTTTCTAAGATGCACATTGTGTGACCACTTTTACTATAAACAATTGCTGCTGCAACACTACAATTCCCCCTATTTAGCTGGAACTAGAACTGCTGTGCTCAGGTCTTACAACCTCAGTATCTGGTTTACTTATATAATACTTACATAAGGTAAAAAATATCTATGTTTATTTCAGTATGAAAGGCAGCTGTCCCATAAACCTGGATTTACCTGTAACAGCCTCATCTGTTCTTATTTGATAAGGAAATGTTGTAGGCTGACACAGCTGTGCTCAGGCTATGTATGTGGAAAGGTTCACAGTTACCTCCAAGTTTACAGTGATGTTTCATGCATGGGCATTACCCAGGGGAAGGCCCTTCTTTATGCTGCTCCCTTGAACAATCAGAGTGCACATGAATGCCTGGGCTGCACAAAATGCAGAGCAGTGCAATGCAGTAATTAAGCTGAAACAATTAATCAAATTAATCTTGATCAATCGATTATTGAAATAATTTTCAACTAATTTAGTAATCGATTAATCGTTAACTGGAGTGTAGAGACTCAAAAACATCCCTTTAGCTGACAGAGCAACCAACCTTGAGAAGCAATTACAAAAAATTGTAGAAGAAAATATGTAAATATTTTGCATTTAAGATATAAAAATCTTTTTTTTTTTTTTCATCAATATGCTCTACCCAGAACTCCTCAAGTGGAAAAGTTTTATTTTCACCTGGTTTCATTTCGTAAAAAGTCTTCTTTAAGGTAGCTTCGGCTATACGATTATTAATTTAAAAAATAATTGACAGATTTATTGATTTGCAACATAATAGTTAGTTGCAGCCTTAGCAGTTGTGCTCAAATCACATAAAATATGTAGATTCTTTGCACCAAAGACATTCCCGAAATGCACAAATACTTTCAAATCACAACTGGTATATATGTTATATGGCTTTTTGAGATTATATGCCCTCCTTTAACCCTATTGCCCAGGGCAACGGCCAATATGGATCAAAATCACAAACCGCCCCTCATTTAAAGATTTTTTTAGTTTTAT